ATTATATAATTAAATATCCCATCCTATCCCAAACTATCCTATTGCATCTATCCTATTTTATTCTTCAGGTGTATCCTATCTGATCCGATCCGATCCTATCCTATCCTAGAATGCCATGTCCTCTCTTAATATATCATATCTTATATCCCATCCCATCCTATTAATCCTATCTTATCCTGTTGTATCCTACAGGTATATCCTATCCTATCACACCATATCCTATCAAAATCTATCATAACCTATATCCCATTCTACCTATCCCATTCTATCCTTTCCTATCCTGTCCTGTCCTGTTGTATTTTACTGGTATATCCTATCCTATCCTATCCTATCTTATCCTATCATACCATATCCTATCCTAATCTATCCTATATACCATCCTACATATCCTATCCTATCCTGTTGTGTCCTACAGGTATATCCTATCCTATCATACCATATCCTATATCCTATATCCTATATCCCATCCTACTTATCCTATCCTATCCTATAATGCCATGTCCTCTCTTAATATATCATATCTTATATCCCATCCCATCCTATTAATCCTATCTTATCCTGTTGTATCCTACAGGTATATCCTATCCTATCATACCATATCCTATCAAAATCTATCATAACCTATATCCCATTCTACCTATCCCATTCTATCCTATCCTATCCTGTCCTGTCCTGTTGTATTTTACAGGTATATCCTATCCTATCTTATCTTATCATACCATATCCTATCCTATCCTGTTGTGTCTTACAGGTATATCCTATCCTATCTTAGCCTATCCTATCATACCATATCCTATATCCCATCTTATCCTATCCTATCGTACTTTGAGCATAAAAAATATTTAGCCTTAAATTTTATATTAAATTTGAATTTGACTGTATGTGTGACTCTGGTTTTAACTTTTTAACCTGCTCAAAAGCCATAAACACAATTATTAAACTATATAAACTTTAACCTTTTCCCATTACAGCAGATCAAATTTGGACACTCAAGATACCCTGCTCAAAGCACATTTTGGCTGTATCAGATTGGAGTAACTCACCCCTGGAGGCCTCGGCAGCTAGCATGCTGTGCTTTCTCTCAATACCAAATCCACAGCAGCAAGTGGGATACGGCAGTACTGGAGTATGTGAATGTCTGTCCGGCTGGAAGTGTGTGTCGGAAGCAATAGTACGCTCAAACTATCACAGTGGCTTTATGGAGCATGACGCCTGCGCTCCCTTCCTCACCCCCTTTTCTCACATACACACACACTTTTCTGCCTGAATGACGGCAGCAACTGCAGGACTACACACACACACACACACACACAGTGTGAAGCTTCTTCATTAGTGAGAGAGAGACTGACAGGCCAAATGGGCTTGTGTGACTGTGGATTTTGTTGAATGTGTGTGCGCAGCATGTAGGTCAGTGGGGTTTTTCTATTGTCTGTCAGACAGCGAAACTGATTCTGTGGTAAGTAAAATCCACCATCAGTGTCAGGTGCTTTTTTTAGTTTAGTAACAGGTCTTAGCATGCCCAGTATGTGCGCGTGCCTCAGGTTTTGCCAACACTGGGGCCTTAAAGAAATATCCCATGTTAAATACAAGCGAATTTAGTGACGTAATGTTTTACACTTTGAGGCACTTTTGGCTTTCTGAAGATGCTAAATTACATTTTAATGAAATTTTAAAAACACAGTAAGCATTCTGTGAGGGTTAAGATATAGAAAACCTCCTGAGCTCAGTATAAAAACCAAGTAGAAAGTCAGTAGAAAGTCCCCACTGTGCTAGAAAAACAAGCGTGTATGTGTGTGTGTTGGAGGGCTGCAGTCACACTCACCAGAAATGAATGGCACAGATTCACTCCTCATTCTTCCTCACTGAACTATGAATGGAACGCAGAGAAAAAGAGAGAGAAAGAAGAGAGAATGAGAGGCACTGAGGAATGTGTCTCTTTTATATAAAGTCAAAGGGAAAATAATGTGGGCAGCGAGAGCTTTGTGGTTGTACTCTTTCACACACACACACACACACACACACACACACACATACTTGCATATGTGGTTTATGGGGACTCTCCATAAGCGTAATGGTTTTTATACTGTACAAACTGTATTTTCTATCGCGCTACACCTAATCCTAACCCTTACAGAAAACTACTGGCAATTTTTGAATTTCATAAAACACAGTTTTGTATGTTTTTTAAGCCTTTTGTTTTATGGGGACACAGGAAGTGTCCTCATAAATCATGTTTACATTGTAGTACTCATGTCATTATACACATTTGTGTCCTCATAAACCATATATACCAGTACAGAGCTTCTGACATGTTTAACTACATTTGTGAGGATGTTTTATTACTAAAGACTAAGAAACCAAACCCCAATAAGAAAATGTTATTTTGTTTAATAAAATAATAAAATAAAATTATACAATGTTTAATGGCTTACAATTGTTTTATTTACTATATATACAATATAGTAAAGGACTTTTGCTGGAGTTTATTTATTTTTAATTTGTTCATTTTAATTTGTTATTTTATTTTATGCAGATTTTGCACACTATTTCCCCCCCCTAAGTAGCTACACAAAACCGCAAAGACACACATATCTCTTATCTGGCTAGTTCAAAATGCCATCCAACACAAATAGCTTTATAATGAACTTTGGCTTTTCAAATGTTTTATTTCAGGAATACAACAGCAAAATTTGCTCTTTGACCATGACAGTCTCTTTCCATCGTGGGGTTCAGCCTGTGGGTTTTGCTTGACAGGGTGCTGTGGTGGTGACGGAGGTATTTAGATTGAAAAAGTTCAAGACAGATCTCCTATCTACATATCACACACACACACACACACACACACTAAAGCACAGACATCCACACACTCTTGCACATACATGCACCTAACCTTCTCAGTCCCACCAGGATATAGGGTGTGTGTCCTCTCAGCTGTCTGGGGGCAGGGAAAGAGACAGGTGTACATGCTATTAAATGTGAATTTGTCATTAATATAGATCAAGAAACGAACATTTGACAGAAATAATAAGAAATGGGCAAGGCAATGAGAGTGAGAGAATCAGAAACAGTAAATTGCCTACCACAGACACACTCTCTTAGATTAGAGTTCGAGTCTGTGGTAATCAGACAGCGGAAAACACACTCACACACAGTGAAAGACAGACACATGCAAGGTGCCTGGGAGTATTAGACATAATCTCTCCTGGATTTATGATAAAACCCTGCAGGCTGATATTACAAAGAGGGCCGCTTTCAGCTAAAGCGGTGCAAAAATGACCTTCCAAAGAGATGACAGTGAAATGTAGATACTATCTAAATATAATCGGAAATGTAGCCTACTATCAACGACAGTAAAGCTTAAAATAAAGGCGAAAGACCAAAATACTGAAGAGGTGTGTTTTCTGAGATACTTCGTTTTGTGGCCTTAACTATAGCGTCATCTGCTGGTCAATGACAGTAAGACAATTCTACACTGAAAATAAATAAATAAATAATATTCAGGTGAAACGCCTGTAAATGTGCCCTATTACGGATCTTGTTTAGAGAGTAAAATGCATTGACTGAATCAGCGCGATTTACAGTTGCTTGAGTTTATCAAGAAAACGATGAGTGGTGGTTCTTATGCAGTCAGTTAGATCAAAGACCTATCAAAGACTCGATTTTAAAAAGCACATTTTTGAAAATTTAGGCTACTACTTATTTGTGAAAATATGCCAAAGATATTTAATAAAAACTATGTAGTTACTGACTCTGCTCCGCAGCTAATGTCAGTGTAGTGTTGTGTTTATCTGCACTAGAGGGCGCTGTGAGCAGCAGGTTGAGCAGCAGCGCTGATACTCGCGGCTCTCGCCGGGTTCAGTGGCGGCGCCTGTAATCCAAGCTACTGGGAGGCTGAGGCTGGCGGATCGTTGGTGCTCAGGGCTTCTTCTGGGCTGCAGTGGACTATGTCGATCGGGTGTCCGCACTAAGTTCGGTGTCGATATGGTGCTCCTGGGGGAGCTCGGGACCACCAGGTCGTCTAAGGAGGGGTGACACTACAAAGTTAGTTTTAATAAAAATAATCCTCAGGTAAACAATTTTAATTAATCTTTAATCTCCACACAGCTGCTTTTGGAGTTGTCCTTATTTTTTGCAGTTTGCGTAATTGATTCTGTTACGATCCTGTTCAACACTGAAGCTGCTTTGAAACAATCTGCATTGTATGAAGCGCTATAATAAACATTATGTTGACTTTAAGATGTGCAGGTCATTGCCTAATTTCCTTATTGCAACGTGAGCACATTAAGCGATATAGCCTAACTGCTTGACTTGTGGTTCTTAAAAATGAACATTTTTACCGTGAAAAAAATTTGTTATTTTTTTTTTTAAATGATTAAGATTGAACAGACATTTATTCAAGGTGAGGAAAGTGTTATTACCTTATACATTACACCATGTGAATTTTCTAATTCATACTGGAAGAAATTACTATGCAAATATTTTTTTATTATTTATTTGTATTATTACTTAAACTATTTATTATATTTTAATATATGTATGTATGTATTATGCACTTCTCAATCAAATAATGTTTTAATGCATCGATCCTTCATAACAAAAATGATGACAAAAATGTTAGTTTCAATAAAAATCAATAAATTAATAATCTATTAATCTCAGTACAGTATCCCCGCTGTCCCTCCCATCACAGTGCACAATACTGTCATAAGGCAGGCCAGATGATGATTTATATTTAGCTTAGGCACATCTGGCTGTTTTCAGTGCATATATCTTCAGAGCTTGGATCTTAATCTCTGCTGTCTGTCGTCTTCTTCAGTTCCACCTGCAGTTGTTGTCATCACATTTCGATCTTCAGCTATAGCTCTCACAAGCTGAAAATGTTTCCGGATCTGGAGGGAAAATTTTGAAAAAAAGTTGCATTTTATCATTGCCGTGATAACATTTTATAACTTTACTGTATTTCATTTTAAACACCGTATCAACAACAAATACTGCTTTATTCAAGGATGCCAGAAGTATTTCTCATTATTCACCAATTGCAGTTGCTTGAAGGGGTCCTCAATATCCACAGTCTCTCTCCAGTAAGGTGCGATTATTTGATAAATTGAACGAATCCTGACCTTTATCTGAGCGTACTGGAGCTCCTCTCTTTCTGCAGTGGAACGCAACTCCTCCCGTTTCAGTTCCTGTGGAACACATCTGTAATCTTGAAAGACTGTACAGAAGACAGAGGTGCCACAGTGACATCTGCGTGTCTTTTTGCACATAACCCTCTGTAAGCCTCTAAATGTGTGTATGTTTTTACCCATTTGTGTGTTTCTGAGTGTATGTTGTCTAGCTCTGTCTGTTGCTGCTGCAGTTGTTTGGTGTAGTGCAGGAGACGAGTTTGCTGTTCCTTTATGTCCTTCATCAGTTCCAGCTTTTTGTGCTCTGTCTCTTTCTCATTAGCTTGTCTTTCTAGAATTTCCTTTCTGATGGACTGCACTCCATGACAGTCACGGTGTCGACCAGTGTTCTCAAACTCAAATTTCATTAAAAAGGAGGAAACAAAAGAAAAAGTGTAACATTACTACTATACAGTGTATTTTAGATATTAAAACAGGTGGAACCTGTGTAATGTATCTAGAGATGCATGCATTTAGTCTTTAAACATTAAAACACGACTCAGTATCTTTCTTGTTACCCCATCTGTCTCATCATTCAGAAAACTGAAAATCAAAGCACACAGAATAAGGCTGATCTAACACCCAAAGCCTCACTCTTCAGTCAAATGAGGCAGGTGAGTCCGGGGAAAGCCTGACAGTTTCTCTGAGTAGTTTCAGTATTTTTCCCCTTTCCAGACACACAAAAGTAGACTAGACTACTAATAGAGTCGGACTACCTTTCCAGACATCTTTGCAGTGCTCTCCTGGTGGAGTTTGGCCAGTAGTTTACGCTGGTGCAGTTGCTCTTTTTGTGCCAGCAGGGCTTCATACTGTGTCATTAGTTTCTTAATGTTCTCTTCTTTCTCTTTGATTTTAGCTTCCTCTTCCTTTGTTTTTTGTATGGCACGTAACCGTCTGGCCTCATTTTCCTTAAGGGAGAGAAAGACAAAAAAGAGGTTACCAATGATATTTGTGACCCTGGAGCACAAAACCAGTCATAAGTAGCACGGGTATATTGTAGCAATAGCCAAAAAAACATTGTATGGGTCAAAATTATAGATTTTTTTAGATCTTTTATGCCAAAAATCATTAGGATATTAAGTAAAGATCATGTTCCATGAAGATATTTTGTAAAGACCCTTATGACTGGTTTTGTGGTTCAGGGTCACATTTAAGTCAATTGACTCATTATCCATGTATTTGTTTCAGAATGTTGTCTTACTTGCAGCTCCTTCGCCGTATCCAGTTTGTACTGCCTGAGTTTCTCCTCGTCTTTTTTCACATTGTCCGCTCTTTCTCGCAAACGCTCCCGCCTTATCTGCAACTCCTGACAACAGCACAAAAACACTACACTCATTTAAAGTGGAACAGCTACTTTCTTTTCTTTCTATCTTTCTTTCATACAAGCACCTTTTCCTGATCTTCCAGTGCTCTGTTCACTCTCTCGTTCTCCTCGCGCGCCTCCGCAAGTAGCATCGCGCTTGTCCTCATATTCGCCGAATCCTTCTCCAAATCCTTTATACCTCTGAAATATTCAACAATCTCTGAATAGCCTACATGCAGTTCACTCTGAACCATCTCCGTCCGCACAAGCAAAGAGCTACATTTCATCGACTTCGCTGAAACTCTGAAGTCACTGGCCATAACGACGATACATTAATGCTTCTAACAAAAACACGGTTTGTGGTGTAATTTAGTACTTACGATGAGAGTCGTTCTTTAAAAACCGACCGATAGTGATCCTCCGCATTGAAATTCATCTTCTTTTTTTAGCTCCGCACACCGTGGACAAACTTTCTGCGCGTGTTTTAAAACATTTAAAAAATGCCCAAAAATGACCGTTCCGTTTGTTGTGGTGTTTATGATCAATTTTGCTGGTGCTGACATAATGATGTTGCTGAGTGAATGATTTTATTAGTTTATATTAATTGGAATAACATTATTATGTCAACCAGCGTAACAATAATAATTGTGCATTTATTATTATTATTAGGCTATTATTATTAGCCTAATAATAAGAATATATTAGAACATTTATGATGCATGGTTACATATAATCTCTATCAAATTTGTACGACATTTTTGAGGCATATTTACAGACAAGCGGCTTTTCTTCGATTCAGATCGTAGCTACCAACATACACTTTGGTGTAAATAAACATAGGCTATGTTTCTCTATTAAATAGGCCTAGGCCTAATGGAATAACAACATGAGGACATTAGACTATTTTACGATGCATAATGGACTTAATAAGATCATTTCAAATATTACAATAAATGTTTGAAAATATAAGCTGTATTTTGAATTTTTTTTTTGTTTGTTTGTTTTTTTGCAAATGTATTGTGTATAGGTGTATTTGATTTTGAATGTGTATATGTGTGTCAAGACAGAGCTGGATGAAATGACACGCATGAATGAAGAAGATAAGGAAGATTATGGCCGAGGCTCTATTCAATGCATGTTTCAAATGTACAAAAAGAATACAAAATATAGCCCTTTGTTTGTGGATACTCCCACAATTTATTTTGAGGGGCTTCATCACATACAGTAATGGCCCTCGAGATATTTCATACATAAAGGCTATGGTAAATAACATTACTGTGACTTTCGTAGATTAGCCTAATGAGATAAGTCTATTAGCTATTATATTAAATTATTAGGCTATGTTTGGCTATCCTGTTTTACACCAGTGGCGTTTTAAAATGAGGAGGCAGTTATATACATACTCACACACACACACATATATATATATGTACACACATATATATATAAAAATAATAACTAAAGGCGGTAACAATTTTTAACAATGTTTTGGAAACAATTTACAATATGGTTTCATTAGTTGACATTAGTTAACTACTTTAGTTAACATGAACCCAGAATAAACAATAGCCTACTTCTACAGCATTTATTAATCTTAGTTAACATTAATTTCAACATTTAATGCATTATTAAAATCAAAAGTTGTGTTTGTTAACATTAGTTTATGCACTGTGAACTAACAATGAACAACTGATGTAACTAATGTAAACAAAGATTAATTATACTATAATAAATGTTCATTGTTTGTTAATGTTAGTTAACACATTAAATGACACCTTATTGTAAAATGTTACCAATACTTTTTATTTGTGAACTGATGTTCAGCTGTTATTTTTAATAGTCAACTTATTTTCGAGTCATCATCATAAAAGCTCTGTAAACACTGCCACAGACACGAAGATATATCTTACATTTCATCACGCTGAATGCTCACTAAAAACCGACGCAGTCATCACGTTTTCAGACCATTTCTAGTTTTATTTCGACGTGACACAAAGTAGTGGTATCTAAGCGGGAGAGTTGTTTACTTACTTTATAATTAGTCAATAACGCCATCATTTTCTTCATTCAGGCCGAGAGCTCGCACGAAAACAAGAGGCGGGATTTATCACACAAACCAATCACATCCAATCATAACCGATCATATCCAATTATAGCGCAACGGAGGCATTGCCTGCTCTCACGTGACTTTCCCCCATTCATCTCAATGAGCCTCCAGACAATGGTTAGAGAGTCAGACTTCAGACTCATAGGTTGCGGGTTCGAGTCTCGTACTGGCAGGGATTGTAGGTGGGGGGAGTGAATGTACAGTGTACAGC